TATGTATGTATGTATGTTTGTATGTTTGTATGTCTGTATGTCTGTATGTCTGTCTGTCTGTCTGTCTGTATGTCTGTCTGTCTGTATGTCTGTATGTCTGTATGTCTGTATGTCTGTATGTACGTATGTATGTATGTATGTATGTATGTATGTATGTGTGTATGTAGGCAGGTATGCGTGTATGTGTGGATGCATACATGCATGCACGCATTGCAATTTGTGTATGTATGTATGTAGGTATGCATGCATGGGTGGACGTATGTATGTATGTATGTATGTATGTATGTATGTATGTATGTGTGTATGTACGTATGTACATATATATGCATGCCTGTATGTATGTATGTATGTATGTATGTATGGATGGATGGATGGATGGATGGATGGATGGATGTATGTATGTGTGTATGTACGTATGTACATATATATATACTTATATATATATATATATATTTATGCATGCATGCATGTATGTATGTATGTATGTATGTATGTATGTATGTATGTACGGATGGATGTATGTATGTATGTATGGATGATTTTGCATCTTTGAAGCGTTACATGATAAATTAGGACAGGTAGACAGGCATTGCAAGCGTGCACAGATCTGCGTTTGCTTTCGTGTGCATATAGTGCAGCACATTATGTCAGCTGCCATCTGATGACAGAGTTGTGTTATGTACAGTTCTATGTACAGTTTTGTGGCAATGTTGGTAAAGGCAGAATCATGAGCATGATTAGGCACTGTGCATGTAAATCGAAACTGGCTGAGCAGTCGATTGCATTGCTATCTCGCCTGATGGGCAAATCACTGGCAGCGAGCCTGTAGCAGGCATGCATGCGTGTAGGCGCAATCTCCATGGTCACGTATACATGTATTGGTGTAGCTAAATGAGTATGCATGGTCATATGTACATACATACATACATACATACCTACGTACGTACGTACGTACATACATACATACACATTTACATACATACATACATACATACATACATACCTAAATGTGTGCTTGCATGCATACATGATGCAATCATAAGACACACTGGCACACACAAACTATGCAGACATGCAGCAATCTCTGCATGCTCAGCCACACTGACCGTCCAACTGGAACTTGGGAGAGCGCTGTGAGCAGATGAGGGCAGATGGCTGTTCCACACGGACGAGGTCAGCCCATGTTGCATCTTGCTCCGTATTGGTTTCTGTATTCTTCCTGTTTCTGGAGGCTCAGCATCAATCCTCTGCGCACTCGCTTGCCTTGTCCACTCGCTTGCCATGTGCTTTTGCAAGCAGGTGCAATTATCGCTTTCAGCGTGGACGGAAAGATGCTCCAAGCTGTTGCGAACTCAATTGCCTGTCCCATGTGTTTTCATCCGGACTTACTGCAGGTGCCAGGAAAGAGTATCAAAGAGCACAGCGTTGAGGACATCCGGCATGCCAGCCCAAGTCAACACACTATCAGGTAGCTTTCCAATGCAAAGGAGCTGTTAGGGCATCATGCAGGGCAATGGCCACGAGCTTAGCTGAGCGGCGGCCTAGCAGGATGGATTGCAGGTGTCCCCGCACATAAATCCGCTGCAGGCAGGAGAGCCTGCAAGCGTTTCCTGGACCCTTTGGGCGTGTAGAGAGCTCGACGACTGATGTTCTAGCCTCATGCCACGTCATGCTGTTCTTTACACGAGCCTGAGTTCTTTTCTGGAAGCCGTGGCTTGAATACAGGTGCTCCTCCGGCACTTGGAGAGCATGGCCCTGTCTTTTGACAAGGGTGAAGTTGGGCCACTCCCCCAGTCCGACTCAGTCCAGCGGCATGCCTGTCTTGAACGGCACTTCGGCGCTTGCAGGTGCAGCACGCTGGAGTCCGCAACCGGATTCCCGCATTCCGCTGCCGGACGCCGACTGTCTTTCAACGCATGTCGCGTTGATGTGCTGGTGTGTGCTGCTGGTGTTCCAGAATGTTAACACGCTCAGGCGATTGCCTCTCGCTTTCTTGCCTGTCTCGTCAAAGCCGGCGGTTCTCGCCTCAACATGGGCATGCTGACGCCACGTTACGTCTTGCCTCATCGGCCTACTTTACTGAGGAAAAGTGCAGAGCGATGAGTTCTGGCAGCTCTTCACGCCGGTCCGGCCCAAGCGACTGCAGCGACTTCGTGGAAGCAGAATGTTCTTGTTGCAGGTCCTTGCTTCTAGGGCATCGTCGCTGAGAGAGGCGGGTGATCTCTCCCCAATGCAAAGGATATGCGTTGGAAGCCCGGGGTTGCACGACGGCTGCACAGAAAGCAGCTTAGCAGTTCCTGAGGCTCGGCTCTGCAAGGGCGAGGTCTCTGGGGCGCTCGAGGCGGAGTGGGGCCTCTTTTCGGTATTTTTCCGGGGTCTTTCCGCTGGCCCGTTCACCTTTCAAGCGAAAGGCTGATAGGTCTCCTTGCCACGTGGTCGGTCAGTCGGTCCATCTGCCGGTCTTTCAAACAGTCCGTAAGTCGCGTGCACCATTTCGGTCAGTAGCGAGTCCTTCCGTTTGACAGGCCCGTCTGCAGTTTGGTCAGTGAACGGTCGGCCGTTCGGATCGAGTGTCTGTATGCTGTGACGAGCACGGCGGAGATGATGTTTAGATACCAGGAGCTGATCTGAACGTCTTAGTAAGGAAGATGAGGCATCCTCCAGCAAGGATAAGGGTGATGCTGTCTTTGCTTCTCTGTGATAGGAAGCTATTTTGCTTCGCAGATTGATTGTTCACGCTTCGCATCGTGCGCCTCGGCCGCAGAAGTCTTGGCAGCGCGGGTGGGGCCGGGGAGAGGGCCGGAGTGGGGACTTCAGCTCTTCTGTCCGCTCGACCTGACGCTGTTTGACCTTGGTTGGCGTGCGTCTGGTCGACGTCGACCATCCACCCTCCGGTGCGGGCGGTCTGGGCCCAGACGCTTCACGCCGCAACCCACGCTCACCGTATGGAGGGTGAAGCGGGAGGGGGTGACACTTCGCCATCGTCTTCCGGGTGCAAAGGCAAGGCAGGGGTGGGGGAGGGAGTGCGGTGTGACCCCTTCAAGCTTCACTGTTGAGGGGATATATAAGGGATAAACGGAGGTGTGGGAAACTCTGACCGCTTCGGGCCCCAAGCAAACCAGCTCCCGGTCACAAGCGATCAAGGAGAGCAATCCACAGGGCAAGCGATCTTCCCAAGCCGCCATGCGACTTGTGTCGGTCATGGCCTGTGATTGCATGCTCATTTGCTTCCCAAGCACGGATCTTCGAGAGAAAATGGATAGTGGTTGAGATAGGGCAAAAAGTCAGCAATATGTGTATGGGATACAGAGTTTTGGTATTGCTCTGGCGCAAGACAAGCACATGCAGACTCAGATAGAGACTGGAAGCGCGAGCCAGGACGCTGGCAAAGCTGGGCTTTGGTCACACGCGATGGCGATGCCTTTGTCTTGGTCTACATCCCTGCGGTCCCTGCGTATGCTCACGGCTGCCTGTCATTGCTCAGTTCGCGGCTTGTCGACCCGCCGTCTTTCGTGGGGTCCTCGGCTCTCACTGGCCGGAGCATATGGAAGCTTGGAGAAGCTTCGAGGATACAGTTCTCCTTCGTTTCTCCGAAGCTGCCAGCGCTGGCAGCAATGAAGCTGAATCCCCAGAGCGAACATAGGAGACTGTAGGAGGCTGTGGGACTTGACTGTTCCGCCGAAGAGCAGGTTTCACCAGGCCTGTCTGCTCAAGAGTTACAGGACCTTGCACTCTGCTCGTCAATGAAGTGAAGAACCGGCGACGGTCAGTGGCAGGATCCTGCCGTTCTCGCACTTCTCCTGCTTTACGAAACCATGGCGAAAGGAGACTTACACGGCTCAGCAGACCCGTGCCAATCCTTGCCATCGGTGAACGCATCGTGCCAGGAGGTCAGCCTGACATCTCCGACAAAGCAATGGCCGGCCCATCTCTCGGCGAACTGCTGCGGCAGCTGTGCATGATACTCTGGGGGCCACTACAGTGCCTGCTTTAGTACTGTAGCAGCTGGTGCAGACATGTGGCAGAATGCCTTCACGGTCACAGCAGTTCCCGGATCCTCTGAGGATGGCCCGCGATTGCTGCCATGTTTTCCTTGCTGCGGCAGCCTGAGCAACAGCCACTGGTTGTAGAACGGGAGCAGAGAACAGACCTGCAAAGGCTGCGGCCGTGCGAGCATCGAAACGATGCGGTAAAGTTCATCGAGATCCTGGCTTCAAGGCCCATTCATCGATCTCAGGTTCATGGCACCATGACATGAAGAGGGTACCGAATTCATGCCGGTTTCGTCCTGAAGGCTCGCAAGTGCTGGAGATGTCTTCGCAGCCCATGTGTCCCAAACTCAGTACCAAGCCCGAGTCGGCTCAGCCATCCGACGCGTCTTGAGACATGGTGTGACATGGTCTTCTTCTGTACGGCACGCATGCTTTTCGATGGCTTTAGAGAGTTGAAGATCCGACCTCGAAATACAAGACCTTGCAAGCCGGTAGCACGCAGAAGGTGCTACCTCATGACCGGTGAGAGAACCCTGGAAGCTGCCCGGGCCTCGGCGAGAGATGAGATGTTGTCATGGTCCCACGCCCCACGCCGCCGCACGCCACTAGGTTGATGCTCCATCCAGCCAGAGGCTTTACCTTCGTGCCACGGAGTGTTGCGGCCTTCGATGGCTGTCGACTTGCAGCGCTTGCTGAGGCATGGTGTGCATACTGGGCGTGGAGCACCGCAGCCCGAAGAACTTCGCAGGGCCCTCTGTTTTTGCAACGGCAGAATCAAGAACTCACAAAGTCCTCTCGAGTGTATTGTCTCCGGAGCAAGTCAAAACGGGCTGGCTTTTTAATCTGCTTGCAAGGTTCTTTTTTTTCAGGGTCCGGTCAACGGACGCATACCCAAGCAACAGGAGTAGGGAGAACGGGGGCTGGAAAAAAACCCAGCAGGGGGAGGCGGGGGCGGCGGCCGAGGGTAGCCTCGCGGGGGACCGTCGGGTCTTTTTCCCCCCCTGTAAGGAGAAGCCCCGCGACAGGTGTCGCACGACCGCGGGCTGGGAAGGATACTGCAAGACGGGTGACAACAGGAAAAAACCCAATGAGGGACTCCACGGCTTTTTTTTGGGCTGCAGGCACCGGAAGGGAGGAAGTGCGTGAACATCCCAGAAGGGCTGGATTTTTGGGGCGCAACCCCGCAGCAATGGTCGGGTCTTCTTTCCGCCTGCTGCACAGGTAAAGCCTCGCGACAGAGGCGAGAGACCTAGCAAACGGGCGGTTCGGAGAGGTCAGAAAAAAAACCCAAAACACGGAAGCAGGTGAGGAAGAGACCCAAAGCCAGGCGAAGAAAGACCAAGCCCAGTTGAAACTGCCTTTCAGCAGCAATCTCCATGGCCATCAGCATGAGGCGGCACAGATGTTGTCACTTTGCAAGTTCTGTTTCCTGAGAGGCTCGCCTCCTCGACCCGCTGGCGCTGCAGATGTGCGCCATTGCACCTTTGAGAAGGGAAGCAGTGCTTCTCGGGTTGGGGCAGCAAAGATGAAATATCCCAAGTTACTTTGTGTCGCAGCTTCATCTGTCTATATTGCCCCCCGACTGACCTCTCGCACTGTCACTGCACTCAAACCTCAGCTAAAGCCAGGTCCGAGGCATACGAGTATGCAAGAGCCTCATACTCTCGGCATGCAGCGTTCAACCTCCTTGGACGAGTTTCGCAATCCCAGGCCATTCGATGCGGAGATGCAGACGCGCTCTGTCCTACCATACAGCCCTTCAAGCTGGCACACGTGGCTCGTCCACATCGACACGGTTTTGACTCCGCAGGGTCCTTTGCATTTTCCTAGGCCATGCTGCTTGCTGATGTGGGCCTCGTCGACAAAGCTCGACGCTACATGACTTTGCTTCAGGCAGGTGCTCTGCTTCCGTGACACATTGCTCTTATGGGCACACTGGCAACACTTGGTGCTTTTGGGGGAGGCTTTTGTAAAGGCCGTCCCGCAGAATCGGCTCTCTGATGCTGCCAGCTTATGTTGAAGAACTCATGTCGATTCTCGTGAGAAGCCCATTCCGTCCTCGGAAGCTTATAAAGCCCCGAGGCATTCAGATCGAGCATGCGTGAATTCCACGAGGCATGTACAAATCCTTGTCACGAGAGCCCTGCTTTGAATCGTGTGGGCAGGTCTTGAATCCCAGCTTGGCTGGCAGATCTCTCAGCTCGTTAATCGTTGCGCATTTGGCTGTCTAGGGTGGTCTGCTACTCAGGTCAGGCAGCAGATGCCCCAAGGGTCGGCAAGGTTTTCAAGGACCTCATGTGCAGTTCTACAAGGTTATGCTGCGGATTTCGCGTCCCAAGTGTTCAGTTGACAGGACCTTGTTCGTAACTTTGCCGAGACGACGGGCTTGGCGGTCAAGCCGACTCCTCCACCAGCTTTGCCAGCAGACGAGTACCCATCTGAGTCCAGTAGCCTGAGCACGGGTAAACATGTGCAGGAATGATGCAGACTATCCATCGTAGATAAAGGTGTGCGCAGCCAGAGACAGCACATTGCCCGCATGGTTGCAAGGCCAGACAGCAGCCTGCAGCCAGCTGCGCAGCCGTTGCTGCAGCCTGCGGGCACTTCTCCATCATCCAGTTTTCCACCCATGCAGCCTTTCCAGCCACTGCCTGCTCAGCCACCGCAGACGCCATCACAACCTGTACCCACCCCGCCACCCGCTACTCAATTTTCGTCTCCTCCTCAAGCCACCACAGGCCAGGTGTTTTGTGAGTGCATCTGCTTGCCTGCATACATGGTGGCATTCCGCGCAGGCCCCTTCTCCAATCCAGCTTACCCGACGCTGCTAGCTCGGTTTTGATTCGTCGGCGAGGGCGAGAATGAAAGAAGTTCTGCTGGCTCTGAGGCCACCGATGAACTCCGGCTTCGGCGCTTCCCCGTTCCCGCCGTCCCCGCAGCCGCAGCAGCCCAGCGCTGGCATGCAGGAGTTGTCCTGTCTCTGTGCATCTGGTCAATTCGGACTTTCGTCCTCCCTGCAGGTTCCGCCAAGCTCGCAGCCTTTCGCCGGTAGTGTGCCGTTTGGTGGTGCCGGTCAACTGCCCGGAGGCCGAAGCATTTTAAAGCTTGCTGGCTGTTGATCCGCAGCTGTGCCAGGTGGCATGGGGGACGGCTTTGTTCTTGACCCAGTGGCGAGTTTGGAAGCGGCTTGATGTGGATCCCCTGTCTTCGTCTCATGATTGCTTGCTCTGAGAGGCTCCACCAAACCCCTTACAGCCTTTCTCAAGTGCGCCCTATGGTGACGTCAGCCGGCTTCCAGTATCAAGCACATGTTCCTCACGCTCTTCACGCTGTTGCCAGGTGGCACGGGAGGCGGCTTCGTGCCTGGCTCGGTTGGACGCCAGCATCCCTCTGTCTGAGAATCTCTGGTGGCAAGGGGCAGCCGGACGGTGGGAGCATGCAGGTGCAGCCGGGTCGAAAGTTTACCATTTCCGCACGAGCCGTCATTTTCCTGAGGACAGAGCGAAGCCACCGGAACGTATGGACTATGCCGATACGCTGGAAAACGACCCCTTGATCAATGCTGGCAAGGCGAGCGGTCCCACCCTGGTTGCCCGAAATGCCAGCCGCGATCGTGACAAGGCGGTGTTCGGCTTTGGCAAGTCCCTTTTTTCGGTTTGCTCCTCATTGCTCAACCACGTGTTGAAGCAGTGCCGCCAGTGCATCCACCAGCAAGGCTGCAATGAACAGAACGCAGGGCGACAACAGAAATAGTCCGGAAAAGGAGGAGAAGAAGGCATCTTGTTCGTGTTCTGTGGACTTTTCGACTGAACTTCCGTCGGGCTGCCTAAGTCAGGAGCAAGGGTTCTACTACGACAAAGATAAAGGTCGGTGGATGCAGCATGGTGTGGAGGAGAACCGCGGGCTGCTGACATAATGTTGACGGTATCTTGCAGTGAAGATTTTTTCAGTGAGGACAAAGACCAGGCCAACATATCGGAGTACGACCCTCTGACGGGCAAGAAGCTGCTCCCCAAGGTCACAGCCCCAGCTTGTGCAGAGCCCTGCTTGTGCGTTCTCATTCTCTGTGTTCTTCCTCGTTGTCTCTGCCAGGTTTCAGATATACCGCCTCCACCGTCAATGGCCCGGCACTGACCTCCCGGAATTTTCGTTGGATTAGGGTGGGAGCGATTTCGTGGCAAGGGCGGCATCGGAGCTCCTCCCATGGTCGGTCCACCACCAATGGGCGTCTCACCGCCCATGGGTGGTCCACCACCAATGGGCGTCTCACCGCCCATGGGTCCACCGCCGAGCGGGGGTCCACCTCCGGCTGGGCCGCCAATGGGTGGGCCGCCAATGGGCGGGCCACCGCCGATGGGCGCGCCTCCGCCGATGGGCGGGCCACCGACTCCAGCAGCAGGAAGCGGGGTGTCGGAGTCGCATCAACGAGTGACGGCAGAGCTTCGTGTTGGACCGCCCTTGGCTTTTCAGGCAACCCTTACGCTGCCGGAGCTTTTCAAAGAAATGCCGGTGCATCGGCCCTCTACGCCCAGCCGGCCAGTTTGATCATCTGGCGCTTCGGAAAGCCGGGAAGCGTGGCAGGTAAACCCGCTTGGAGGACCTGCAGGTCGGGTGGAGCAGTCTGCTGCATGACATGGCGGCCAACAACTACAGACAACCTCTATGAGAAAGGGGGTTCGTTCAGCTCAGGCGGTGCAGCGTCAGACCCCCAGCGTTTGCCAAACTCTCCATGACTTGGAGCAGCAGCAGGAAACAAACTTCCAGCTTCAAACGTGCTTGGTATGGCACGTGATTCCTTTGGGGTGCAAGCTAGGCGAGATGGCAGCTGAAATGAGGCCTTGCGGTGGTCTGGGGCCATGTGGAGCAGGAGCTGCCGGTTCCTTACACATCAGGGCAGCGACATGACGTTGACCCTCTCCTGCTATGTGCCGGTGCTGTCTTAACTGTACATGAATGCGTGCAGTGCGAGGCCCCGCCAGCCGCAGGAGCCGCGGCCGTTGAGCTTGTTTGGCTGTTGCCGAGATCGCTTCTCAAACCGCGCAGATATCGTGAGGAGCACCCCAAGCAACACCTTTCAACCAGGCTCGCGAACCATGCGTTGCGTCATGAGTGCTTTATGAGGACTCAAAGACGCGCGCAGACTATTGGCACAGGGTTCACCGAAGAGTACTTCGGATTGGGAAGGTTCGTCGTCTTTGGCAGAGTCCGCTCTCCCACCTTTTTGCGACTGAATTGGGGTATGATTCTGGAGCCTTCCTTGCATTGTCTGCTCGAATTTGGGTTTTGCGTCTAATTCCCTTTGCCAGGCTGGCATGGTGAGAGCGACGCCCTTCGGATAGCACAGAAAAGGCGTTTTTGGGTTGCGTCTTTTGCTTGCGGTCATTGCGTGGAATCAGCTTACTCTGCCTGCTCGGAGGGATTTGCAATTGTTGATCAGCTGTATGCAGCCTTCATTTACAGTGGCAAGATTCTCAGAGTCAGATCCCTTCAGATGTTGGTGCTTCGGGACGTGTGTTTGATCGCTCTGCAGCTTTGGCTCACAAAAGAAGAGATTGCAAATACCCATGACCGTCACTGTCGAGCTAAGCACCTTGAGTTTCGACGCGTTTTTTCTTGCAAGGTGCTGAGTCCAGCAGACTTGCAGCCAAGCATCCCCAGCAAGATCGTTTCAGAGCAGCTCGAATCGCTTTCAAACAGGGGTTATGTCCTCATGCTGGAGGAAGCTTTGGCTATGGAAAGTTCCCCACAGGGCCGGCGGGTCCGCACTCTTCTGAGAGTGCTGAAATCGCTGTGCACAAGACGACGACCGGATGCAGATGTCTCCTGATACTGTGACCCTTCGAAGCATCTGTAACAGCGCTGGCCTGTGGAGGCGTGCGCTGTCATCCTTTGGACCCGCCCCAAGAAGCAGATTTCACAACGTACATGGCAGTACATGCTCAACTGGTATTTCTGATTCCCCGTCCACATGCCCAGGATTGGCGTTGCAAGCTGTTTTGTTCCAGACAGGCCGGCTGCGAACCTAAAATGTCTGCCAAGGCTGCTAAGGAGTTTCTGACAACTCTCGTGTCAACATCTCAGAGGGGAAGGCCTCAGCGAGCGCACGCTTCTTCGGTTCCCTGTCATGCAAATCGCTTGCATGAGCTTTTTCATGAGCATCTGAACATCAGTGTTGTTGATGTTCCCCTCGCACCTCCCTCTCCGCTTGTACGGGAACAGTGACATGATAATCACAGCAGCTCAAGACAAGTATGTTTGCGTTGACTCTGGGGACTTGCCCGCAACTCCACCCTCCATGTTCATTCAGAGCGCAGTTCTCAGAGAAGGCGAGCAGCATGCATTAATATTTCTGTATCTGAAATATCTCGATTTGTCTACATGTGTGTATATATATATATATATGTATGTATGCCTTTATGTTTCTGTATATATATACATACACACCTATGTAAACCTATATATCCATATATCTATGAATCTATATCTATATACCTATATATCTATCTAGCTTTATACCTGTATACCTATATATCTACATATCTATATACCTGTATATCTATATCTGCATAGCTACATACCTACATATCTATACATCTATATATTACATGTTTTTATAAATCTATATACCGATATGTCCATCTATCTAGATATCTTTCTATCTATAGAATCTGTATATCCATGTATCTTTATATCTACATATTTCTATATCTACATGACGATATATCTCTATCTCAATGTATCTGTATGTCTATACCTCTATATCTCTATAGCTCTATATATCTCTATATGTCTATATTTCTATATCTCTCTGTTTCTAAATCTTTACATAGCTGTATATCTATATACCTATATATCCACAGATATATATCTATATATTTATACCTATATCTTCATCTGTAGCCATGTATATATATATATAAATGTATATATATATATACATATGCGCCATATATATATATACATACGTATATGGAGAGTTTAGGACCAGTACAAAAAGGGCTAGTTTGAACATCCCTTAAGTGCGTCGTCATTTCTGTGTTGGCTTGATGTCTTTTTAAGAGTATGCTATCAGCTGAAAGTGACTGCTTGACATGAAAGTTTTGACGGCGCTCCCTCGGAATCTGCGTTCTCGTTTCATTGGTCGTTTTCTTAATGCCTTAATGCTGCCCGGAAGCTATCTCCACCAGTCGCCGCCACTGCGTTTGCATCGTGTTCATGTGACTTTGCCTGTCCGTCTGTGTGTGTGGAGTCACATTGCGGAGTGACTGAATTTGGGAAGCTAGACAGGTGCGTGCGGCTGAGGAGTGGCCATCAACTCAGACAGATCTGCAGGCGCTAAAGCCCGCAAACAGTGTTTGGCGCTGCTGTTTTACAGGTGCGCCGCCAGGAAAGCTTGGATTGCGCGTCAGGGTCTTATCAAGCAAACTGTTGAGTGAGTGAGTGAGTGAGTGAATACTGCGGATGCAGATCAAAAGTAGGTGTGTGTGTGTAATCGTATGTATGCATGCATGCATGTATGCATGTATGCATGTATGCATGTATGCATGTATGCATGTATGGATGCATGGATGCATGCATGCATGCATGCAGGTATGCAAGCATGTATGTATGTATGGATGTATGTATGTATGTATGTATGTATGTATGTATGTACATATAAGTACGTATGTACGTCGGTATACCTGCATGTGACGTTCGTGTCTACGCATGTAGTGCTTTGGCATGTATCATTTTATGTTGGCTTGCTGGGCGGCCGGCTGGGTGGCTGGGTGGATGGATGGACAGATGCATGTATGTATGAATATGTATGTACGTATGTATGGATGGATGGGTGGATTTCACGTATGTATGTATGTATGTATGTATGTATGTATGTATGCATGTACGCAGGCGTGTATTCGTATGTGAAAATATGTGTGCGTACATGTTTCCGTCTGTATGTCTTTGTGTCTGTATGTATGTACGTACGTACGTATGTACATGTGT